GTACTGTGCTTGATGACACGTGGAAGAAAAGTATAGGATAATTCTTAAGGGGTGCTGAGAATTTTTCTTTTCTTTTTTTTCTTGAGACAGAGCCTCAAGCTGTCACCCTGGGTAGAGTGCTATGGCATCACAGCTCACGGCAACCTCCAATTCCTGGGCTCAAGCGAGTCTCCTGCCTCTGCCGCCCAAGTAGCTGGGACCACAGGCACCTGCCACAACACCTGGCTATTTTTTGGTTGCAGCTGTCATTGTTGTTTGGCAGGTCGGGGCTGGATTCGAACCCGCCAGCTTAGGTGTATGTGGCTGGCGCCTTAGCCGCTTGAGCTACAGGTGCTGATCCTGAGAATTTTTCATATTTAACCTTTTCATTGCATTCTCTCCAATTCCCTCTTCTATTCTTTTTTGTGTATCTGGAGCAGCCCACATTGCCATAGTGACCTTAACTGTCCTGAAATAGTTCTAGGTAAAGGCAAAGTCCTATTTGGATGGTCTTTTATGCCTAGCAATAATGGTTCACAGAACAGCATTGCTAGAAGGAGCTCAGAGAAGTTAAATAACTTATCCAAGGTCATGTAGTTAATAATCCAAGTGCTTCTTTTTTTTTTTTTTTAAGACAGAGCCTTAAGCTGTCACCCTGGGTAGAGTGCCACAGCATCACAGCTCACAACTCCATCTCCCTGACCTAAGCGATTCTCTTGCCTCAGCCTCCCAAGCGGCTGGGACTACAGGTGCCCACCACAACACCCAGCCATTTTTTGGTTGCAGTTGTCATTGTTTGGCAGGCCTGGGCTGGATTCAAACCCGCCAGCTCAGGTGTATGTGGCTGGCACCCTAGCTGCTTGAGCCACAGGCACTGAGCCAGTCCAAGTGCTTTTTACCGAGATCCAAGTTATTCTTCTTAACTACTTAAGCTTTGTGCAGATCTGGGCTGCCTGGAGGTCTTTGAGAGTTCTCCAGGTAGTCCACAGTTAGATTCCTTATACAAGGGAGGGTAGAAGGGCACTAAGCAACCTTCCACATCACTGTTCTTTGCTGTGGGTTTGAGTGAGAGGAGATATAGATTTCATGAGCTCTTGTTGTGGCTTGAAGCTGCTATGTCAGAGGGGATGGGTAGGATAATACATGTAAAGCCTTAAGGTTGAGGGAGAAGATTAGAGATCATCTTAACTAGCCCTAGAGCCACTAAGTAACTTGCCCAAAGTTTTGTTCCTCTGTGTTGAGCTGGCCAGGCCTCCCTGGAGGAACACATCTCAGCACTCACATCTCACTTTCCTTTGAATCTTCCTTCATTTCTTCCTTACTAAAGGTCCAGGAGCCTTCATTTTGTCTTCCTTCACTAGTCTACCTTCTGTCCTTTCCCCTACAGCAGAAAATGATGGTTCCTATAACCAGGACCATCCCCAGCAGCCTGGGACTCTGTGTATTTGTGAGGGAATGGGGAAGAGCACAGAGGACTAGATATACAGATGGTCCTCAACTTATAGTGATCTAACAGTTTTACACTGGTAAGAAAGCGACTTGCATTGACTAGAAACCACACTTCAAGTACCCATACAACTGTACTGTGTTTTACTTTAGTACAGTATTCAGTAAATTACATGAGATATTCAACGTTATTATAAAATAGCTTTTGTGTTAGAGGATTTTGAGAATATTTAAGATATGTTAGGCTAAGCTATTAGGTTTAATAGGTTAGGTGTATTAAATGCATTTTCAGTTTAGAATATTTTCATTTTATGATTTGCCAAGGATATAACTTCATCATTAGTCAAGGAGGATCTATGGTGAGTTAAAAAAAGTGTTTGAATAGCTGGGTGCCTGTGGCTCAAGCGGCTAAGGCACCAGCCACGTACACCTAAGCTGGTGGGTTTGAATCCAGCCCAGGCCAGCCAAACAGCTATGATGGCCGCAAGCAAAAAATAGCTGGGCCTTGTGGCGGGTGCCTGTAGTCCCAGCTACTTGGGAGGCGGAGGCAGGAGAATCACTTGAGCCCAGCAGTTGGAGGTTGCTGTGAGCTGTGATGCTATGGCACTCTACCCAGGGCTACATCTTGAGGCTCTGTCTCAAAAAAAAGTGTTTGAAGGGCAGGAGTGGTGGTTAATGCATGTAATCCTGACACTTTTGGAGCCTGAGGTGGGAGCATCCTTTGAGGTCAAACATTTGAGACCAGCCTGAGCAAGCCCCCGTTTTTACAAAAAAATAGAAAAATTAGTGGGGTGTGGTAGTACACACCTGTAGTCCCAGCTACTCGGAAGGCTGAGGAAAGAGGATCATTTGAGCCAAGGAGCTTGAGGTTGCTATGAACTACGATGATGCCTCTGTGTTCTAGCCTGGTCAGCATAGTGAGACCCTGACAAAAAAAAAATAAAGTGTTTGAGGAACAGTGGATTAAGTGATGCTCAAGACAGAGCAGCAAAGCACGGTAAGGGCCTATTTATACCAGGGCCTCCTGCCTTGGGACATAGAATATCCCAGAGAAAAGCTGACACCAGTAGGTCATGAGAATGCTACTTGTTTAGATTTCAAATATGTTCCATTCACTACCTCACGTAGGACCAGTTGGCCATCCTGTTCTCAGAGCCTGGGCCTCATGTGTTGAATTTTCCTGAGGCAGAAGTGTCACTGTATTCTTTCATGTGTGGGGATGTAGGCAGCACTGCCTCTTTTAGAAACTATGTGGACACTTTGAACTGTACTCTTGCCGGCCAATGCCAAAAGAATGGTATTTGCAGGGCCTGGTAAACTTGGATGAAACTTTTCAGTGTCCTCATGAAAGGCGTGTTTTGCTCTGAAATCTGAGAGCATGTGTTCTAACAAAAGTAGTAAGCATAAGTCTCTTTTCCACCTGCACCAGGCCGCAGAAGGGAGGTGTCTCATTTGCCTATGGTGGGAAGGTGAAGATAAAAAGAATACTATTTGCAGTGTTGTGAAACTCTCATGCACAGAGTTTACTAATGCCTTTCCCCATGTTTTCTCCTTCTTAAATGCCTTTATACCAGAATGTTAAAACTTTTAAAGGCCAAGAAAGGCCATACTGAGAATGTATGGCAAAAGCTTGCACTGAGCCAGAAATCTGGTTTTTAGCCCTTTACTTTCTCTAGCCCTTTAGATAATGGCTGGAGTGCTTTGTATATACCCTTGGCCAAATAGACAGCATATTAAAGAGGAGAGGAGGAACTGACCATGTGATTTAAGTTTCCACTGGCAGTAGTCTGCCCAGATGTCCACCGTGGGCAGGGTCAGCCTGGGGAGTGGCAAATACAATACCGTGGTTTTAGTTTCTTTGCTGAGCAGGGGTTTTTCCTTCTTAGCTCTGAGCTTCCTGAGGATAAGGACAATGTCTTGTTTATTTTATCCCTTGTACCCAACACAGTGCTTGGCACAAAGAAGTTGTCCGTTTAAATGAATGTGTTACTTCTTTTAAAATAAAGAAATGTCGGCTCAGTGCCAGTAGCACAGTGGTTATGGGGCCGGCCACATACACCCAAGCCAGCCTGGGCCCACTAAACAACCATGACAACTGCAACAAAAAAATAGCCAGGAGTTGTGATGGGCACCTATAGTTCTAGCTACTTATGAGGCTAAGGCAAGAGAATCGCTTAAGCCCAAGAGTTAGAGGTTGCTGTGAGCTTTAACACCATGGTGCTCTACCAAGGGCAACATAGTGAGACTGTCTCCAAAAAAAAAAATTAGCAAAGAAATGTCAAAGCTTGGCACCTGTGCCTCAAGTGGCTAAGGCGCCAGCCACGTACACCTGAGCTGGGCCCGTCAAACATCCAGTCCAACCCGGGCCTGTCAAACAACAATGATGGCTGCAACCAAAAAATAGCTAGGCGTTGTGGTGGGCGCCTGTAGTCCCAGCTACTTGAGAGGCTGAGGCAGGAGACTCGCTTGAGCCCAGGAGTTGGAGGTTGCTATGA